CCCCCCCCCCCCCCCAGGTGGGGCACTAGGGTGGGCCGGGGGGGGGGGGAGGGCCTCAGTGTACTTCTGCACCCAGGGATGGGTGAGAGTTTAGGGTTCTGCTGTTTTATCTGCTATTCCTATCTGCACCCCTGCCCCCATTTTCTTTCCACTGCATCTAGCGAGGGGTTTCCTCCTTTGCATTCAGCCAGATCTTGCAGCCAGAAAAAGCAGGGCCGTTGTGTTAACTGTGTGCATTCTTCAAGATACATTCAACATGTTCTGGGGTTTTGGCAACTGGTACCTTTAAGGGAACAATCCTGTTCTTGGGGAGGAAGCTGAGTTAGTCCAGGACACAGCAGGTTTTAAAGGGGACTCCTCGGAAGAAGAAGAAGAGGACCGTTTATTGAAGAGACTCTGGATAAAAGTTTACCACCTCAAGCGAAGAAGATTTTTATAAAAGGCTTATAAAAGGTCAAACAGTGCAACCGGTAAAAGGGGTACTTCGCCAAGGGGTGGACTGTCCCCCCTCCCCCTGTGAAGGAAGGAGAATGTAACCTGAGTAAGCCCGGGCCCCCATCTTCCAAGCAAGAGCAGACCGGGGGGGGGGGGGGACAGCAAGGACATTACACTCACAGAGTCCTCCCCCTCCCCCCTGTCACGGCTCCTCCTCCTACTCCTGCCGCCTCTTTTCAAAGAGAGCGCAGTAGGCCTCGCGGATGCTGTGGGCTTCCCCCGCCTCCTGGGCGTCGCAGAGGCCGTCCCCCGGGCCCTCCGCGGCGGCGGCCGAGGGTAGGTCGCCGTAGTCCATGCCCTCCTCCCAGCCGTCCTGCATGGCCTCGTTGCGGCTCTCGCAGAGGTTGTGCAGGATGCAGCAGGCGAGGATCACCAGCGGGACGTTCTTCTCCGCCACGTCCAGGCGCTTGAGGAGGCAGCGCCAGCGCCCCTTCAGCCGCTCAAAGGCGTAGCTCACAGCCACGCGGCAGCGGCTCAGGACGGCGTTGAAGCGCTCTCTCGGCCCGCCGCTGGCCTCGGGAGGGTAGGGCTTCATGAGCCACGGCCTCAGGGGGCAGGCGGGCCCCCCCAGCAGGACCGGCCTCATGGCCACCCCTCCGATCTCCGTGGTGCTCTGGGGACCGAAGGCGCCCCTCTCCATCCGCTCAAAGAGGGGGGAGCCCCACGGCAGGCCGGAGTCCTGCATCCCGCCGGACCAGCCCGCGTACACGTCCATGAAGCGGCCCGCGCTGTCCACCAGGGCCTGCAGGACCATGGAGACCAGCCCCTTCCCGTTGATGTAGGCGGAGGCTCCGTGGGGAGAACACAGGATGGGGATGTGGGTCTCATCCACCACCCCCAGGCAGTTGGGGAAGCCGGCCCTGTCGAAGCCGTCCATCACGGCCTGTGCGTCTCCAAGCTGGATGACGTGCTTCAGTAGCACGTCGTGGATCGCCTCGCACACCTCCATCACAATGACGGATGCGGTGGACACCCCGACACCAAACTGGTTGGCCACGGACCTGTAGCTGTCCGAGGTGGCGAGCTTCCAGAGCGTGAGGGCCACACGCTTGTCCACGGGGATGGCGGCCCGCATGTTGGTGTCCTCGCGCTGCAGCACAGGCCGCAGCCTCTCCACCAGCTCCAGCACCGCCTCCCGGGACATGCGGAAGTAGCGGACCCACTCGCTGCTGTCAAACTGGCTGGCCAGCAGGTTGTCCCACCAGTCCGTCTTCTGGGTCTTGCTCCACACCGTCCGGTCGTTTGGGCGGTAGCTGGCACCCAGCAACACCCGCGCCATCGCTGCTCGCTGCCTCCTGCGCCGCAAGCGAAGGTCCCGCATGCGCTTTGCAGAGGAGCTTGGGGCTTTCCCTGGACGCCATGCTGTGAAGACGGAGAGAAAGCAGTCAGAGGGTGAGTCATATCTGAGCATCTCTCTGCTCTGAGGCTCTGGGCCTTTTCCCTGGATTTCGTTTCGCCCCTTTTTCAATTCCCTTTTGAATCCAGCAACCTTTTCCAGTTTCCCCCCTCTCATTTTTATAGTAAACTTTTTTATAAAGACATTGTCTTGCCTTCGCTTAGTCTCTCCCCCCCCCATGAAGATCTGAATGCTAAATATGCCATCTTGTTTAAAAATCTAGTTGAATGTTTTAATACTGAATTCTGTAGTTTTAACTGGTTTTAAAACTGTATTGGATTTTATGTCGTAAATTGCCCTGAGCCCCCACGCGAGCGGGGAAGGGCTGTTAAGAAATCGAAATAAATAAATACATAAATAAATAAATAACTTCTCTGGGATATTCCTCCAAATCTCTTCCCTGTGTGCTACATAGTTGGTGATGGTAAGGTATTCTGTAGAGCATTATTAGGAAGGGTATTGAAAACAGATCAGCCGGGAAAGGAGGCAAGCCACCATCTTTTCCGGGAGGGAGGGGCGGTGTGCCCGAGCGGCCACGGGACCTCGATGCCAGAGCCGCCACCCCCAAGGTGCCCTCGGCTGCCCCCCCTTCCCCTCCCCGGCCTGCCTGAGTTCTGCTGGCACAGCAGCAGCTCCTGCCCCCCCGGCCGCCCACTCACTCTGCGTGCCGCCCTGTGCCAGGGTGCTGGTGGGGTGCTCCGGGGGTAGGGACGCCATCTCCTGCCAGAGGCTGCTGGCGGCAGAGAGCCCGTTGACGGGGGCCAGCGCCATCTCTTGCTGCTGGAGGCGGCTGGGCACTGCGGAGGCCTCCTGGTCTTGCAGCCGCAGCGGGAAGCCGGAGAGCCCCGCGGCACAGGGAAGCGAGGATCCGTCCTGCCTTGGCGGCCGGTAGCCGGGGACCCCCCTCGGGTGGGCCGCGGGGTCTTGCTTGGTCAGCTGCCCCCTGTAGGCGGGAGGGCCGCAGGGCTCCCGGTCGGGCACCTGGGGCCGGTCCCGGTCCGGGAGAGGGAGCCGGTGCCAGTCCGAGCCGTCGGGGGCCAGCGTGAGCGGGAACGGCGGCTCCCCGGGCCGCTCCTCCCTCCGGCTCCTGCTCCGCCGGCCCTTCTGCCGGGCGCGGTTGGCGCAGACCTTGGGGACGACCAGGCCCCGGCTGACCACCAGGAAGCGCTCCAGGAGGGAGAAGAAGGGCATGGTCTGCCGGGCGCGGTTGGAGTGGAGGTGGCCGTCCTGGATCTCCTTGAAGCCCCTCCGCAGGTCCTTGGCCCGCTGCCGGCACTGCTCCAGGTTGCGGCGGAAGCCCATCTTCCCCATCCGGTCCGCCAGGCGCTTGTACTGCACCTCGTTGCGGTAGTTGTCGTAGAGGGCCGTCTGGACGCGGTCCTCCCCCCAGAGCTCCACGAAGGCCTTGGTCTCGGAGAGGGTCCAGTGGGCGGCCCGCTGGCGGACCTGGTCCAGGGCGCTCTGGTGGCTGCCGGGAGGAGAGAGTGGAGAGGAGTCAGGCGGGTAGCTGCGGGCCCTCAGCCCCCGCCCCCCCCCGAACTGGGGGGTGATATGGGGGGAGGAGGTGCATGGCACCTGCCAGGTCTTTCCCACCCCAGGATAGTATAAATAACAGACTGGGGGACGAGGACACTGCAAGGTCTGTGGGGAGGGGGAATCCCATCCTTTCTGCCCCCATCCTTACCCCCCAGTGGAGGCCCCTGCCCACCAGCAGTGTTCCCCCCAAGCTGAGTCAGTGTGAGCCAGCTCACCGTTTTTTTAGCCTCCGGCTCACGCATTTTTGTCTCAGCTCAGGAAGGAGGGCTCCAGAGCCAACTAAATTTATGTAGCGGCCAAATTGCTTCCTCACAACTTTAATGCCAGCAGCTCACAAGACAGGATTTTGGCTCACCAGACTCCACAGCTTAGAGGGAGCGTTGCCCACCAGCCTACCCAAATGGCTCGTGGGGAGGGGGCGGCAGAAGTGGTGTCCCCTCTTCCTCCCCACACCTGCCCATCTGTTGTGTGGAGGCCCCCCTTCCTCCGCCTGGCTTCTCTACCTGCTCCGCCTTCCCCGCTGGCTTCCAGTGTAGCTGCTGAGGTGGCCGCAGTGGGGGGGCAGTGCCTCCCCCCCCCCCCCGGTTGTCCACCTGGTGCACTGCTGCCGCCCAGGGAGGGATGAGGCAGCAACAGCAGCCCCCACCACCACCAGCAGACTCTCGCAGGGAGCTGAGACCTGCCCTCCCCCTCCTCTGAAGTCTCCCCCCCCCACATGGCAAGGAGGGGTGCTGCTGCTGCTGGGTGAGGGAGGTGTGGAGGCTGCGCTCCGCTGAAAACACTCCTTGGTTTTGGGGGGGGGGAATTAAACCACGCGCAGCATATTTTTTTCCAGATTTCTCTGCAGACCTGGGGAGCCCCCCAAGTTGGTCAAAAGGGAACAAAACCCTTCTCCTCTTTCCATGGTCCCAGTCCGTGGATTGTAGTTTCTGCAGATGGGAGCCCGGTGAGTACTAGATGTGTTGACTTGTCCAAAGGGGCCTACACCGCTAGGCTCTGTTCTGGGTTCAAAGGCTCCCGCTGGGGGACCTCCTGAGGGCACCTGGTATTTCTGGCCCCTGTGTGACACAGAGGATTGGACTGGATGGGCCACTGGCCTGATCCAACACTGGCTTCTCTTCTGTTCCTATATCTGGGGCAGTGATGCTCTGTCTTCTTGGTGCCTGGGGGGGCAAGGGGGGGCTTCTGGAGTTCTGCCCCCCCTGCTGGACCTCTTGATGGCCCCTGGTGTTTTTGGCCACCGTGTGACAACAGAGTGTTGGACTGGATGGGCCACTGGCCTGATCCAGCATTGGCTTCTCTGATGTTCTTATAAGAGGGAACTGGATAAACATCTGGAGCAGAGGTCCATCAGTGGCTATTAGCCACAAGGTATAGATAGGGACTCTCAGTCTGGGGCAAGGGGTGCTGGGGGGAGACAACAGTGGGATGGCTTCTAGTTTCCTCCTGGCCCCACTGCTGGACCTCCTGATGGCACCTGGTATTTCTGGCCACTGTGTGATACAGAGTGTTGGACTGGATGGGCCACTGGCCTGATCCAACACTGGCTTCTCTTACGTTCTTATAGGAAAACTACCAAAGGAGGGCTGGTGTCAGAGACGGTGTCAAAGACCTCCGTGGTTGAGACGGGGGCCTCCAGTGCCCCGGATTCTGCACTGACAAGGCCGGTTGTTTGGGAGCTGTGCCCGTCCCCTTCCAGGATGGCCCTAGAGCCCTGGGCCACACAGTGCCCTGTTCTCCCCTTCTGAAGGGTGGCTGCTGGGAAAGGTCCTTCCCCTTCTGCCTCAGCAACTGAGGCCCATGCCGAGGCCCATCCCCCCCCCCCCCGCTTCCGAGAGGTCAGAACAGCCTGCCTCCCTCCCTAGCAACGGGTTCTAGGACAAAACGGCTGTCTGGAAAGGTTGCTTTGTCTTCTGACCCACGGCCCTCCCCTCCACTGCAGCACGGAAAGAGCAAGCCCCCCTGCTCTGGAAGCCACAGAAGGTCCAGTTCCCTTTTCAGGACGCAACAACAGCTCTGCAAAAGAAGTCCCGGGCCGTACTGCCAAGTGCAGCCAGTCTGAAGAGCTGGCAAATGGGACACAAACCCTCCCCTGTGCCAGGCTTGTCTCAGAGACCTTTTATTCATAGGCAAACTGCCTCTGGGTATGGAGGTTCTATCTTGGTACCAATGCTCCTTCTAAGTTGTGGAGTCTTGTGACCAAAAATCCTTCTTTGTGAGCTGCTGGCATTAAAGTTGTGAGTGAGCGATTTGGGTACGGCATACATTAGTTTGCTCTGGAGCCCTCCTTCCTGAGCCAAGACAAAAAATGTGTGAGCCGGAGGCTAAAAAACTGTGAGCTAGCTCACACTGACTCAGCTTAGAGGGAACACTGCTTGGTACCACGACCAGTCGCCCTTCGCAGACCTGCCCCCTCCCCCCCTGGGTTTTCCACCCTGGGTATGCAAGCTTAAGCGTGTGGCTTTAGTAAATCAAAAAAACCCAAGCCCTCCCCCAACCCCCAAACAGAAGCTTCTTAAAGGCTCCCTGGCAGCTGGCTCCTGTAGCCCAGCCCA